ATGAACCACATGAGAAAGCTGAGATATTGAACAAGCATTTCAGCAGTATCTACACAAGTGAACCAATTGCCTCGCCAGCCCAGAGCATCGAGAGACTCCCTCAAATTGATGAGATCCTCAGTGACATGTCGGTGAGCCCTGCTGAGGTCACGTCCAAGCTCGAGAGTCTCAATGTGTCAGCAGCACCAGGTCCAGATGGGGTTCATCCCAGAGTTTTGAAAGAGTTGGCGCCATTGGTTGCCCATCCTCTTGCTGTGGTGTTCAACAAGTCCATGGAAACGTCGATCGTTCCGAAAACATGGCGTCACGCTACAGTAGTTCCCATTTTCAAGAAAGGCGACCGGGAAAATGCAAAGAACTACGGACCAGTCAGCTTAACTTCAGTCGTTTGCAAGATCATGGAATCAGTTGTCAGGGACAAGATCATGTTTCACCTAGCGAGCTTCAATCTGCTTAGTCCTCACCAGCATGGTTTTCGTCCTGCAAGGTCCTGTACAACCCAGCTCCTTGAAGCTATGGATGACTGGACGCGAGCAATAGACTCTGGGCAGCCTGTCGACACCATTTACCTCGACTTTAGCAAGGCATTTGATTCGGTCCCACATGGTCTTCTTCTTTCTAAGCTGAAGTACTATGGTGTTGATGGAAGGGTGTTGAAATGGGTCGAAGCATTCCTGTCTGATCGCACCCAGCAGGTCCTGGTCGAAGGCGCCTTGTCAAGCAGCTCTAAGGTGAAAAGTGGTGTTCCTCAGGGTTCCGTACTGGGTCCTTTGTCATTTCTCATATACATCAATGACATGCCTGACCATCTTGAAAGTCATATCAAGATTTTCGCCGACGACTCCAAGCTGTTCGGTCCTGTTCAGTCCCCCAGTGATAGACTTCGACTTCAAGAAGACATCGACAAAGTAGCTGAGTGGTCACAACGCTGGAGACTCCCACTCAACTTGGACAAATGCAAGGTGCTCCACATGGGTCCCAGGAACCCCTGTGTCAGCTACAAAATGTTTGAATCAAACCTCACTGCTGTTGACGAAGAAAAGGACTTAGGCGTGACAATAGACAGTGCAATGAAGTTTCATGTTCAGACAGCAAGGGTTGTGGCCAAAGCAAACAAGCTCCTCGGAATCATCCGCAGATCGTTTGGAAATCTTAGCAAAGACATGCTTACTGTGTTGTTCAGGACCTTGATAAGACCGCACCTGGAATATGGTAACAGTATATGGGGACCGCCATCGAAGGGAGACCAAAAGAAGATAGAGAGAGTCCAGAGACGTGCTACCAAGCTGGTCCGTGAACTACGGCCCAAGCCATACTCGCAGAGACTCAGGGAGTTGGACCTGCCCTCACTTACGTATCGACGACTACGAGGAGACATGATAACGGTCTTCCAGATACTCCGGGGCTCCCTCGATGTGCGCCCAGGTCTCCTTCCATTGGCAAGCTCCAGGATTACTCGAGGCCATCATTTGAAGCTCCACAAGCCAAGATCAAGATCAAGAGCGAGGAGGAACTTTCTGGGAGTCAGAGCAATAAACAGCTGGAACGGCCTGCCTCCCTCTGTTGTATCCGCACCTACTGTCAATGCCTTCAAGTCCCGACTCGACTCCCACTGGAAAAACATCCAATATTCATCAGTCATCGATCAATAGAAACAGAGCGAGTTTAAAGTAATGATCCGGTCCAATAGGCCTGCTACTTGGCCTCAAAATTCCGTGTACTTCTAAGGTAAGGTAAGGTAAGGTTGATTCCCCATCAGCTGGCTAATCATTATTTTGATTCACTGGTAATGTTAACAGATAGGCAACAATTACTTGCAAGAATACAGCATTTATCTTGCTATTATTCTCATTTAGTGGTATCCTCAGCACCACAACAGATACCTATAGCATTGTTGTACTTTACCTTCACTACATTTGATAACAATTCACAATTTTTAAATGTCAAGAATACAAAAACTGAAGCAACAGGTAAAAACCACATAATAGATATAAAAGCACTACAACAATGATAATTAGGGGTTTAAAAATTTCATTTTGCCATTTTGCGCAAATACTGATTGCTTGGTATGCGATTCATGATACAAAAATAACATACAGTGTGATTTCCTCAAAACAGCTTTTACGTGATGGGCAGTACCTCTGTCTTTTTCCCATTCACAAGGCCAAAGGGACAATTTCTTAGTTTTGAGCAAGATTCCTATAGGTTTTGAGGTAACACTTTTTGCAAACTTACCACATTTTTCTACCTTTTTAAAGAAAAATCTCACCGTCATGGGCCTTTTTTCAACCGTAACGATACATTTGAAGTCAAAAGTGTACCCAAATGAATAAAAAAATTGATTCCATGCCCATATTTGGTCATGGCTCCTCCCACCAGAATCAAATTATTGATGCCTCCATATTTTGATTCCAAAAGTCTAGTTTGCCCAACTGATTGGTCAATTGATCCCACTCGTATCGAGTGAAAAGCATCGGAAAGTGGAGGGTATGAATGTCAAACCTGACACTCAACCAGTGCTGGTCCAGTCGCCCGCACCTTGAATGATTACAGCAACTCAGCAGTGTTGGTGTCTGATGGCAGAGCATTCCGGTAGTTTATATAGGTATCTGACACTTAATGTGTTCCTGCACAAGAGATGCTTGTTGTGTGGCTGTCACTTTCATGTACTTAAAGTGACAATTGCATTATTTATATGTTGCAGGTAACCAGGGACACTGAGCTGCCAAAGCAACAAACCATAGAGAGGAAAATGCCTCCCAAAAAGCCTCAAATCAATCCCTTCTCCATGTACATGCGTGAGCAAGAACCAATCCTTCGAAGGCAGGGGATACACTTCAACTCTAAGAAGGAAGTGGTTGACTACTTGTTTCCCCACTTCAATGCACTCTCTGAGTTTGACCGTCAAAAGTACAAAAACATGGCCAAGATCGAGAAGGAGAAGGCCAAGCTGGACCTGACGCGCAAGTTTGACGACCGCGGCGTTCCGCTGTCCCAGATCGCCGCCGAGGAGGACGAGCGACGAATGAAAAAGGATAACATGATCCGTCACGTGCACAGTATCGTGCACGATCGCAGCAACGGCGTGCCGCTGCTGAACGTCAAGTTCTACAACCTGTACATCTCGCTGCACTGCTACACGGACCACGGTAAGCAGGCCGAGTACATCCCGTGCGAGGTCGCTCTGGCCGAGTGGACGATCGCCGACGGCGTGCTGCGCTCGTGCTCCTACATCATCGAGCCGGACGCCATCCCGACTGGGTATCGCTCCAGGTGTTTGGACATATCGGAGGCGACGCACAAGGTGCCGCTGGGCCACCCAGACTCGGAGCGCAGCATGCCCGGCGTCTGGATCCGGCTGAAGAACTTCATCAACCCGCAGGAGGAGCTGGATGACTACCCGCCCGTGTTCACGAGCGGCCCCGACCTGCCCGAGACGGAGGGCGCGCTCGACTGGCTGCACGTGCGCTCGGCCGACCGGCGCGCCAGCCCCTTCCGTGTCTACCCGCTGGAACGGCTCGTTTACGAGCTGTTCAACGCGGCCGGCGAGCCGCAGTTGGAGACGCACTGCAGCGACCTCATCTCGCGCGGACACTTTGACTACTTCACCGACCTGGCGTGCGGCTTCCACCAGGACATCGACAACCCCATGTACTGCATGCTGGCCAAGGCGCGCCGGCAGGCGTTCGCCGTGCTGGACCGGGTAGCCGGCCCGTTCGGCGTCGAGCTGATCCCCGGCCGGCACGTGCCGCAGTCCAAGAACGACGCCGGCGTGGTGGTGAACACGCCGATGGCGCAGGGCGGCGGCCGCATCCAGTTCAAACCGACGCGGGAGAAGGAGCCCGACCTGCCCACCCAGTACAAACTGCTGCAGCCGACCCGCTCGGCGTTCCGCGGCGGCGACTGGGAGACTCCGATCGGACCGGTGCCCGAGGCGCGCCCCTTCTCCGGCTGGAGCGCCGCCGAGCCGGAGGACGACTCGACCTGGGGCGCGGCGGCCGCGCAGCAGCCCAAGGTGCGCCGTCCGGCCGCCCTCGGCCAGGCGGCCGCCATGTCCACGGGCGTCTCCCAGCAGGAGTTCCCGGCGCTGGGGACCGCCGGCCGCCAGCAGCAGCCACCGCCCGCGCGCTCCGAGGCCGACTTCCCGGCGCTGGGCGCGCCCTCCGAGACTGACTTCCCGGCTCTGGGCGCGCCGGGCGGCGGCGGTCTGGCGGGCCGCAGCCGGCCGCTGGCCACGCGGACGCGGGTGCCGGGCGAGCGGCCGATGGCTGCCCAGGTGCGAGTGCCGGCCGTCGGGCGCGGACGCGCCACCAGCCGCACCACGGTGGCCGGCACGCTGGCTGACCGGTTCGCCAAGCAGCCGGGCCGGCCGTGACCGGATGTCGGGTGCTCGCCGTCAATGTGGCGAGGGGCTGCCGTCACTGTGCCGCCGCGGCCATCCAGAGGAACTGGTGGTGGACGGGCGCGACGGCCAACGGCTGTGCCAGTTACCGACCCGGATGTCGGCGGTGCTTTCGGGTTTGATGGACGAGAGCTGGTTGTGTTATGACTGAAATCAGGAAGTGTGTGTTTGTGGGAGGGGGAGGGATTTGAGGGGGCAATCATAACCATTCCCCGTGCTTCCAGCGCGACTTTGTCACGATGCTTCCCGACGTTTGTAAACATGTAGCGGCGCAAACTGTTTTAAGTCGAGAACCAGCGCTGAGCTGCGTCGCAGATTGATTAGCCAAGCAATGTTCCAACTGCACTGCATTGAAAATACATTGTTCTTTGATAGACGTCCTATATTTGGATTATTTTACGTCGCTCCGTCCCTCCATCGTTGACAGCTGATGGCACTCGACAGCCCAAACGTCACTTGTCTACTGGTTATTACTCGTTTGGTTTGAGCTTTCGAGTTTGGTGGAGTGCATACAGGCGAGAAAAAAAAACGCCGCACACCCTAAGTGATTGGATATTATGTTTTTCTTTCGATGTCTGTCATTTCTATCGCTCGGCGGTGAACGTCGTGAACCAGAAGCAAGATTCTGGCAGATAAACGGGAGGTCTTGAATGACGTCATTGGCTCAACCAAAATTTATAATTCGTTTGACGATCCTGCTTTAGCGCTTTCCTTGGCAAATTGCATCTTGAGAATAGTCTGCGCATGCGGCTTCGCAGTTTTACTGGAATTTCTGTATCTTTTATGTAGTTGAGGCTATCATTTACAAAATATACTTTGGAGATTGATTGAGGTAATTAAGACTGACCCTTTTCATCCTCTAAGATATTACAGAGTGACGACTTTTGTGGTGTTTGGATCAGCGTGCCGCGTCGCTTTTGTCTTAAAGGAAATATGATTGCATTGCAACTGTGACTTTTAGTTTAAACATGGGGTTTTGAACTGTAATAGTTGGACGCAAGAGCCAAGTTGCTACGCGCCCCAGGGGGCGTCGAAGTCTAGTTCCTACCAACCTGGCACTCCCATGCCTACGTCACCACGAGGACGCCCGAGGGCATTTACATGTTGAAGATAGGGAAATTGCCATAGTTTAGAGCCGCCTGAAGGGCAACTTTGAGATAGATGATAATGTAAATGTGTGCTAATATGATCATCAACATGTTATTTATCCAAATCCAGGGCCAATTAATCAATAACTTGTCACGTTTTCCAGTGGTGAGGCGCTAACTTTCATGGTTCTTGCAGCCAATAAGGGTGTTTCATAGTGCGATTCAGCCGCATTATCGACTTTAATGCCATAAACCGCCACGGAACATACGATTTGCAGCTTCCTGGCGTGATAGCTGCCAGTAGGGCTCCGGAGTCGGAGTCACGAAGTCGGTCGGAGTTGACAGTTCTGACCTGAGTCGTCGAGTCGGAGTCAGAGTAGATTTTAAAAGCTGGAGTCTGAGTCAGTCACCGAAATTCGATCCCCTCCGCAGACCTTTCAGGGTTCCGTAGTCGGAGTTGTAGTCGGTCGGAGTCGACAGTTTTGACCAGACTCCAGAGTCAGTGTCAGAGTCGATTTTGAAAGCTAGAGTCAGAGTCGGAGTCACCAAAAATCCATTGCCTCCGCAGACCTGCTAGGGCTGTGGAGTCGGAGTCGGTCAGAGCCGACATTCGAAATCAAAGTCAGAGTTGATTTTTGAGTCTGAGTCAGAGTCGGAGTCATCAAGAAACCCATCGACGATCCGCAGTACCATGCAGTAAGGGCGCTGCCGAACGATGCCCTGAATTGCCTATGAATTGAATGAATAGATGACAATTAATTAGGTGGGTACCTTCTATTGTTCATCCCCTGCCACTTGGAGGACTTACTTTCAGTAGAAAAAGACGCATTATTTGTTTGCTTATTTATTGACAAATATTTTTTGAGCAGTTAGGGATACAGACACAAAACACAATGAGCACCTCGCTGGTGCAAATCATTGCTAGATAGATGTTGAAATGTGTTGCCATTGAAGAATCTACTGATTTTCCCTGCGGCTCTCGTTTTCAAGTAACTACTGGTCTTGTAATATCTCTTGATTGCTCACCGTCTGGCGTCTTCCAAGGTTTTCTGAAAGCTAATCAAACGTTAACATGGCTGCTCTTGATTGCATGGCGCTTGCTGGTTCTGGGTTCTTAATTGGTGGTTCTTGCGTCTGATCCTGCTGCTTTATGTTCCATCACATCACAATAAATTTCTAATGGAACAGACACTTCTACCTTTTATTTCTCACTATCAGTCGACTTGCTTTTACCCCTGTGGCCTGCTCGCCCTTTTATTTCCACGCTAGAATCTACCAATTATTGAAAAAGCCTCGGATAAAAAAGCAAGAAAAGTATGTCAAGTTTAATAATTGAGACGGTCCTAGAAAACCAGAAAAAAATCAAAAAGCCTGTCCATCTCACTTCCCTCACTTCATAACAAAAAACCAGGCAGCAAAACATGCGAAAGAGTCCTTAGCAACGCCCTAGCAACGCATTTGTCTGAAGTGCGCAATATGTGTCACATCTGGAAAATTTAGTAGCTACTTGATTTTTCAACTAGAGTTGGACTATATCAGCTAGGCTTTTATATAAAAAATAAGTGTTTGCTTATCGAATTTATAGCAACTGGTTGCTTAGTTCCGAAATAATGATTAATTACAGAAAAAGCTTGTTTGCGACATATTTGTAAAGAAACAACGGAAATAGCTTTGACTCGTGCGCTGTTCTAGTACATTTTTGGTAGAAAACTTCGTCCAACCTTATGTTTTAGGGCCTTGACGCGCCCTAACCCATAACAACAATAACAACAACAAACTGTAATAGCAGCTTTGTAGCTTGAGCTTAGACCAGCACAAATCAGAAGCCTTTACACCCTGGCAGAAAATATTTTGTTTCCCGTCCCAAAAAGAGGTCCTCGTAGAGGAGTGCAGCCACGTTATCTGCATCATCAGCTATTCAGCATGCTGCTAACAGTCAATGCAGCTTAGTAGTTTTGACCTATATTCAATATGATTGGTCAATGCATAATAAGCTTCCGTGTCGAACATTTTATGGTATTTTTCAAGATAAGGTCCGATCTACAATTGTGGTGCTGTTTATACGATTATGAAACAGCAGAAATTTTACGTTGTTGGTTAGGTTAGGTTGCGTAACCGGACAAATCTTCGTATGGCATTTCTTCGTCGCGCAATTCTTCGTCCGCATTTCTTCGTCCGCAAATCTTCGTCGGCGCATTTATTCGTGTCGCATTACTTCGTCTCGCATTTCTTCGTAGGTGCAAAAATTCGTAGCGCATTTCTTCGTATCCGCATTTCTTCGTCGGCGCATTTCTTCGTCAAGCATTTTTTCGTCCACGCATTTCTTCGTCTACGCAAATCTTCGTCCGCATTTCTTCGTCCACGCAAATCTTCGTCTGCGCAAATCTTCGTCCGCAAATCTTCGTCCCCGCAAATCTTCGTCCGCAAATCTTCGTCCGCATTTTTTCGTCCACGCATTTCTTCGTCTACGCAAATCTTCGTCCGCATTTCTTCGTCCACGTAAATCTTCGTCCCCGCAAATCTTCGTCCGCAAATCTTCGTCCGCAAATCTTCGTCCGCAAATTTTCGTCCGCATTTTTCGTCCACGCATTTCTTCGTCCAACCAAATCTTCGTCCGCAAATCTTCGTCCGCAAACCTTTGTTTGCGCTATCTTCGTCTCCGCAAACATTCGTCCACAAATGTGGTTCAATAAAACCATAGCTCTGTTCGCACCCCGTTTATTTATCAGCAGGCTGCGACCATGCTGCTAATTCTTGGCTCCTCATTGGTCGAATTCAAGTGGTCTATTCGTTAGACCAATGAGAGGCCAGGCCGCGCCAGCAATAACTTCCTTATATGGGGAAAACCGACAGCACGCTGATATAAAAACAGCGAGCGAACAGGGCCCATGAAGAAATATCAGACAGTCAAGTGAATGACGAATTTAATGCAAGGAATGGATGATCGAAACTTTTGAAGACAGGTAGATGAGGTCAGTCAGGTGAAGCTATTGTATTTGGGAGCCGACAATCGTAACATTCCTCATTTGTGTCCCTGACATTCTTTTTTTGCGGTCGTTGAATGACAATATAATCTCTTTTACCCTCACCGGCATAGGCGGCGGAACGGGGAGGGCACCGGGGCACCGTTCCCCTCTTTAATTTTGGCTTTTTAACAGTAGCCCTATGGGCGTTGCATGGAAAGCATATTGGACCAAAAGTCGGCAGTGCCGTGCCCCCCCCCCCCTTATTGAAGATGTTCCGCCGTTACTGCCTGCCGGACCTATTTGTTTTCTACGGTACACGCCGGCCGAGGGGGCGGGTACGACCCCCCCCCCCCATCGCCGTTTCGCCACTGGTGGAGCTAGCGCGTCGCGGAAAAAAAACGAGCGTGTGCGCCGTTACGAGCCCCAGAGATTAATACCCGATTTTAAGGCCTTCTAGGTCAGGGGTCGGCATACGGCCCGCGGGCCGGATCCGGCCAGGTGGGTGACGGTTGGATCCAGCCCGCGACCATCTGACGTCCGGCCCGCGGCTGGTATCAGCGACTTACATCGTGTTCCGGCCCGCCCCCCCCCCCCCACACACACACACCGCCTGGAAGGTTAAGCGAGTAGACCACGTGAAGCCGCCAAGTGCACGCAGCTGCAGCAGTCGTTGATGCTGCTTGCAAAAGCTGCTGACCAAATCTTACCGTTGCAAGTTTTGTCTAGAAGTAGAATTAGACAAAAACACCCGCAAATGGTGTTTATAAACTCATGAAGTGTGCGAAGGAAGAACTGTTGTGCCAAAGCACATTTGAGTCACTTTTATATCGGAGTCGATTTATGAAGGAACCGCGGGCCGGAACATGATGTAAGTCGCTGATACCAGCCGCGGGCCGGACGTCAGATGGTCGCGGGCTGGATCCAACCGTCACCCACCTGGCCGGATCCGGCCCGCGGGCCGTATGCCGACCCCTGACCTAGAAGGCCTTAAAATCGGGTATTAATCTCTGGGGCTCGTAACGGCGCACACGCTCGTTTTTTTCCGCGACGCGCTAGCTCCACCAGTGGCGAAACGGCGATGGGGGGGGGGGGGGGTCGTACCCGCCCCCTCGGCCGGCGTGTACCGTAGAAAACAAATAGGTCCGGCGGGCAGTAGCGGCGGAACATCTTCAATAAGGGGGAGGGGGGCACGGCACTGCCGACTTTTGGTCCAATATGCTTTCCATGCAACGCCCATAGGGCTACTGTTAAAAAGCCAAAATTAAAGAGGGGAACGGTGCCCCGGTGCCCTCCCCGTTCCGCCGCCTATGCCGGTGAGGGTAAAAGAGATTATATTGTCATTCAACGACTGCAAAAAAAGAATGTCAGGGACACAAATGAGGAATGTTACGATTGTCGGCTCCCAAATACAATAGCTTCACCTGACTGACCTCATCTACCTGTCTTCAAAAGTTTCGATCATCCATTCCTTGCATTAAATTCGTCATTCACTTGACTGTCTGATATTTCTTCATGGTTTTATTGAACCACATTTGTGGACGAATGTTTGCGGAGACGAAGATAGCGCAAACAAAGGTTTGCGGACGAAGATTTGCGGACGAAGATTTGGTTGGACGAAGAAATGCGTGGACGAAAAATGCGGACGAAAATTTGCGGACGAAGATTTGCGGACGAAGATTTGCGGACGAAGATTTGCGGGGACGAAGATTTGCGTGGACGAAGAAATGCGGACGAAGATTTGCGTAGACGAAGAAATGCGTGGACGAAAAAATGCGGACGAAGATTTGCGGACGAAGATTTGCGGGGACGAAGATTTGCGGACGAAGATTTGCGCAGACGAAGATTTGCGTGGACGAAGAAATGCGGACGAAGATTTGCGTAGACGAAGAAATGCGTGGACGAAAAAATGCTTGACGAAGAAATGCGCCGACGAAGAAATGCGGATACGAAGAAATGCGCTACGAATTTTTGCACCTACGAAGAAATGCGAGACGAAGTAATGCGACACGAATAAATGCGCCGACGAAGATTTGCGGACGAAGATTTGCGGACGAAGAATTGCGCGACGAAGAAATGCCATACGAAGATTTGTCCTGGAATCGTTAGGTTGTAGATTTGCAGGTTTTAGGCTGCAGGCTGGTAGGTTTATAAAGAATGGTTCTTCCTATATGAAAATATAGAAAGTTTTAGTAATCATTTTTATAAATAAGTTCTCTTTTCTGATCATTTTAAGCCTAAAAAAAATAAAATCCATTGCAAAAAAAAACTTATTTCAGGAAAGTGAACTGTTCCCTTTCAGTGGGGCAATAAGTACTTTAAAACTGCAACAGTGCAAAAATTGGATGGTATGGTGAAATCCCCTTTTGCACACTTAATATTAGGCTGCTAAATGGTGAATGATTGACAATATCGGCAGGCAGCAAGTAAATCACTACTCCTCAAATGGATTGCCCATGATGGTAATGCATGCATGCATGCAAGTAGGAGTGGGTGGCGGGTGGCATCTAAGCATTTAAGTTCTCTATATACTATGCATCTAAGCAGGCATCACACTTCAAATGCTGAATGTGCAGTGACAGGCTGTGGCTTTGAAATGGCTGCCAGATTATGTTGTCACAAACATAAGTACCATTGATGCATTTTTTATCAATGAAAAAAAATTGCAGCTCATGTTGCTATAGCCTTGTGATTCATTATGTCAAATTGTCATTCCTTGAGCAATGAGCATGCAACAATTTAAATTGCTGGATATTTGAAGACTTTCCTGTCAATCAAAACCCAAGGCTGCTATTTTTGTGTTCTAAGCTGTCAAAAATTTTATTAAGTTGGGACCAGGGGGCTGGATGCTTAGCCCAGACTCAGAGGCCTTTCACATTCCACAGTCCACACTGCCCATTTCAGAAGAATAATTTATCTTCACTTTAAAAACACCTTATAGGGACAATAGGATAAATCCCCCCTGCCCAGATCTGCCCTGCCATTGCCCAATGCCAGTGTCTGGGGTCAAGTTTTATGTGGGTAAAATGATGAATAAAGCCATGTAAAATTCTACCACCAAACATGCTATAGCAATTATAGTTGTCCCTTCTCCCAGCTTAAGCCTCAACAAGCTAGTTTTGTGTTTCAAGCTAAGTTTCCATGATAGTTTTTGGTTTCACCTTATCTCCTGCCATGTGTAAGTTAATGCAATGAATGTGCTCCTGTGCCTCCTGCCTGCTTGTATCAATCATGTGGATCAGGATGTGTCAGTTAGTGGCATTGTCTGGCTGTACCAGTCATCCATCCAGTCCGGCTGGTCTGAGCGGTCCCCAGTCGGCCTCCGCTGTGTCCACGCGGGGCCGTTCGCCGGCTGAGGCTGGGTGCGCCCTGCCGGGTGACGGACGTCGGAAGCCGGGCCACGGGGGAGGGCGGGCTGGCGCGCACCTCGCCCGCTCTCCTGCCGTGGCGGCGGCTGACAGCTCGCCCCGCCCGCCCGCCCGCCCGCCCGCCGCGCCGCGCCGCCACCGGCTCCACGCGCTGAATGCCAAAGTGCCGACTACGCCCGGCCAGTGGTGAACAAACTGATGTTGGACAGTTTGGGGCCGCTGACCTGTGCTGCTTGGCATTTGACGACTGGGCATTCTGGAGCGACCAGCCGAGCCGATGCTCAATGCTCTGAAATCTGAAGATTCTTCAGAGGCTGCTTCGGATATAGCATATAATTTTTTGCCCATGACTGTTTTCGTCAAAAGCATCTTCGACTTTATTTTACGTGACTGCCGATCAACTACTGCTCTCTCGTAACATCACGAATGGCCTCATTTTCAGTATCCACTCTTTGAAGTGGTCTTTCCAATTGCTCTACATCTTAAAACTTATTTAGCTTATTCCTCAGTTTCCTCTCCCTGTAAACCTCTTATGAACTCAAAGGCACGTCAGTGCCGATCGGTGCAACAGTCCAATCAAGCGTCAGATTCGGGCAGCAGTTTATACCCGCCTTCCAGTCGGTCTGACCCGCCTCCGTTGTGCCGCGCCGAGTAGACCATGTCGGCCACCAAGCGGACGGCCAGCGACGAGCCGCCGGCGGCCAGCGAGGAACCGCCAGAGAAGGGAGAGGTGGACGAGCGGCCCGCCAAGGTGGCCCGGAGGGATGACCCGCCGCCCGCCACCGGCACCAATGGAGGTAAGTACCGGCGCGCCGCCCCAGCCGAGGGGTGAGCCAAAAGATTTTCTTCCTGCTCATACAATTGACGACGGCTTCGACCTTCGTTTCGGTTCGGCTATTAAGTTGATTTTATGTTGATGTTCTGAAGTCATCTCAGTCATTATGCACAAGTGTTTTTTTTTTTTGCAGTTACTGTGTGATGTTTAGAACTTGTTTAGAAGCTGTGTATTCATGCGGCTTTATGTCACGAGATTGACCACTATCTCACCCACTCTGTAACCAGCACCCGTCTCTGACCGCCCCATGTGTGCGCAGCGGAGGATGCGGCCGCGGCGGCCACCCCGCTGCCCATCTCCCACCCGTTCCAGGCCCGGTTCCGCGCCGCCGAGCTGTCGGCCGGCCAGTACCATGTGCTCGACGAGGCCGGCAGCGGCGACGGCAGCGGCGCCGAGAGCGCCGCCTCCGACTCGGACGAACTCGACGAGGACGAACTGATGGAGATGCTCGATGCGGGTAAGGCGCTGCCCCGCTCGGGCCGGACCTCCTGTTTGGAGGGCTGTATGAAGAGCGAGGGAGGCCGGGAGTTGGTAATAGGGTGGATGGCTGCATTTGGCCAAAATCTGCGCACCTAACGTTACGCTATTCACTGAGCTGTCAGTTGGTGTTAAGGTTTTCTTTATTTTAGATTTTATGAATGAATATACCTGTCATATTGGTTTTTATTTCGTCTACCACTTTGGCTTGTTGTATTGCACTTTTTATCCCGGTGTACATGGCGTTTTTTTTGCGTTTTAAAAAAAGAACACTTTGCTTCTTCTGGCCGCTTCTTCTGATGTCTTCAATATCTAATCCAACCGTCTTCATTAGATCTGCCGGAGAAATTCAAAGGCACGCGACCCGTGCGGGGGCCCGGCGCTGCCGAGGACCCTGACGACGACTCAAACTACGAGCACCGCGACAAGGTGGTGCTGAAAGGTGAGCGACGGATGAGCTGTCGTGGGGATGGTATCAGATCACACCGGTACCGGAGACCGAGTTACGGGTGCCTGGCAGCGTTTGAGTGTCGGAGTTCACACTCAATCGGCTGTTTTTGTTAATGAAAACGAAGGCACTCTTTTGCTTTTATCAACTCTTTATCGTGAGCGTGCATCAGATATTTTATTTCGATGCTCACTGTATGTCCGTGTTTGTGCGACTGGCGGCTGTGTGCTGTGTTGTCCTCCCCTCTACTCTCTGTGACCCGGTCTGATGTCCCTGACCGCCTCTCCGCCACGCAGTGCTGGGCCGCCACCCGGTGGAGCCGCTGCCAGAGGACTGGGTGCAGGTGACGCACATGAGCGGCATGCCCATCTACCTGCACCGGCAGTCGCGTGTCGTCACACTCTCGCGGCCCTACTTCCTCGGACCCGGCTCCGCCAGGGTGAGTGTCGCCGTGCGTGGGACGTGAGTATAGGGCAGCTGCCGGCGCCGGATGGTGGTTGCGCTTGTCGGTCAGACTTAGACAAAGTTATTGTTGTTTCCCTCTTCCATTAAAGCTTATTGATTATTGTACAAGTACTTGTATGACTTAGTTATAATTGCATGCCTTTGTTTTGTTGACAGCCGTGACCCGTGAGTCTTTTTTTTTTTGTTGGGTTGGGCCCTTTCGGTCCAATTAGACCATTTCAGAGCCGGAAGGATGTTAGGAATTAGGGTGAGACATTGGTCTGGGCAGGCACCCTAGTGAGTCACCGGGGCTGAGCCCATCCCGAAGGACAGGCCGATCAGCCCCAAGGTACTCACTGCACCCGGCTACGGGGTGCGCTCCCTCGGGAGCAGCGGTGCCGCTCCAAGGGAGCAGCCCGCATGAGATAAAGTTGCCTGTCCAGCCCGGAGAGGGGTTGCGGCGTGGAGGAGAAGGATTTCAGTATCCTGAGGATAGAAGCACGGAACGGTGCCCGTGAGTCGTCATTGTGATAGTTCAAGTTAAATGCGTGCGCTTAGCCACAACACAAATTAAACATTTTATCGATAACATTTCACTGGCATACAGTTTTATGATTGCATGAAGAAATATGAGTCGCCATGCGTTTCAATGTTTGCGTTAACCACACCCGTTTGTCGTGTCTATTTAGCAATTTCTCAGCACACCTCTGTCATCGTTTGACATTGTTTTCCGCCACAGAAACACGACATTCCGCTGTACTCGGTGCCCTGTCTGCAATATCTCCGGGAGCTGGAGAAGGAGGGCGAACAGAAGGCGGACGCCGACCCGGCCCCGACCTGCCCGGTCACTGGGAACAGGGCAGCCTGTCCGGCAACTACCAACGGTGAGGTCACGGGCGCCAATGGCGGCGCGGCTGTGGAGGCAGCTTTGGACAACACTGCCACTCAGAGTTCAGAGACGAACGCCGCGGGTGAGGCCGCCACAGAGAGCCGGGCAGAGTCGGCCGCAGTGGAGGACTCCGCTGTGGAGGATAGTGCGGCGGAGACCGACACGGCCGCCGCCACGCCAGCCGCCTCGACCGTCCCGAGTCCGTCAGAGTCCACCCAGGCGGGGGAGGAGTCCGCGGCACCAACCCCGGCCGAGTCCGCGGCGCCCAGCCCGGCCGAATCCCCCGCCCCGACCCCGGCTGAGTCCGCGGCCCCGACTCCAGTGGAGTCCGCGGCGCCCAGCCCCGCCGCGCCGGCCGCCGAGGGCGAGGGCGCCGCCGCGCCGGGCTCCAACGGCGTCCCAGTGGGCCCGGTACCGGTGGACGGCGTCTCGATGGTCGACCCCTCCGTCACGCCGGAGGAGATGCACAAGTACTGCGCGCGCCGCTTCCAGTTCAAGACAATCCACCTGATGAAGTTCAACACGTGGCGCGAGAGGCGTCACTACCTGCGCAAGAAGCGCACCCAGCGACCGCAGATGTCCAGTAAGACCAAACTGCTGTCGTTCCCTGTCCGGCCCAGTCGCAAATCGGCCGCCGTGCCCGGCACGCGGCTCAGAGAGTGGGTGCTCAACCCGGGCGGCAAGAGTTACGTGTGCATCCTTCACGAGTACCTGCAGCATGTGCTGCGCGAACAGCCCGTCTACAGCTACTCGGAGCTCAAGAACGCGGCCACGCCGTACGGCGCCACGGTGTCCCTGAACTCGGTCCAGTACGGCAGCGGCTACGGCTCCAGCAAGAAGCAGGCCAAGAGCGAGGCGGCCAAGGCCACGCTGCAGATCTTCATCCCGAACCTGATGGAGCAGATCGAGGCGGACAAGACGGTGCAGGGCAGCGCCAAGCCGGCCGACATGGATCTGTCCTTTTTCGACTCGATCCGGCTGGAGGACCCGCGCGTGGCCGACCTCTGCAGCAAGGCGGCCGAGCCATCCCCCTTCACAATACTACTGGTGTGTCTGCAGCGCAACTTCGGCCTCACCAGCAACCAGGTGGCGTGCAAGCTGCACACGACCAAACACAAACAGAACGAGTTCGAAATGACCGTGGGCAAGCACACGGCGCGCGTGCCGTGCAAGAACAAAAAGGACGGCAAACACCTGGCCGCCCAGTCGCTCCTCCAGGTGAGACTAGTGGACGCTGCCTATTGAGATGAGAGGAAGGTGTTGTCATTTTAAAGTCATTTTGATAAGGTTAGGTTTGTTGAACACTAGAAATTCAGACTGCCGGTCGTCTTGTTTGAGGTGTTGGTGCGATCTTCTCCTCCTTTTTTGCACTTGATAAAAAGCACTTATTCACCCTACAGCAGTTAAGCTCATTATGCAAATAACATCGTTTTCCCCGGTGTGTCGTTTCAGCAACTGCACCCGCACGTGACGTCGTGGGGCTCCCTGCTGCGGATGTACGGCAACCACTCGAGCAAGTCGCTGAAGGTGAAGCGGCAGGAGGAGCAGCAGATCACGCTGCTGCAGAGCAAGGCCACCGTGAACTCGCCCAACTACGCCATCCTCAACAAACTAAGGGAGGAGATGGGCAAACTGCAGGAGGTGAGAGACATTCATGTGCCGCGGGTTGTGTTAGCAGCCTGCTCTGTGGGGTTTCACAGGTGATGATTTTGTGGGTTGTAATATTTCGATGACGGATTATTATTATTATTATTACCTCGTGTATTTCCACTAACCACCAGACGGTGGGATGTGATACCTGCTGCCCATCCTTAGCTTTCTTGTGCTACTGCAAACACTCTTATTTCTGATATTTTTTCTTGGCATTATTATCCATGCTGACAGCTTAGTTGGCTGGTTCGATTTCCCTCGTCCCTCACTGACATGGAACGTTCTTCGGCCCATATTGTTTTACGCAATCCTCCATCCGGACTGGCTGTGATCTCTACTCAATCCTAGCTGCACATGTAACCCCTCCACTCACCGAGCCAGCACTGTACCTCAGCTGACCGCCTGCCTGCCCCGCCTCCCCCCAGCGTCAGGTGCGTCCGATCGGACTGCTGCAGCTGTCCGACCTGCACGAGGAGGAGCAGGGCCGCTCCGAGTCGGGCGTCACACTGGACGCCGTCGACCTCTGAGCGGGCTGTGCCGACCGACACGCCAATCTCTGAGCTAATGGTGACGGTCCGCCCAGAGCCTGATCTCCGGCGGTGAGCGCTGCGGTCGCTGAGCGGGGTATAGCGACCGATACGCTGAGGTACCGTCGGCGTCGACCGCCCGTCAGCTGCTTGCGATGACCGGTGCGGCCGCGCTGGGATGCGATCACCGGTTCTGGAACACGATCATTACCTGTTCCGACGAGCGTTAGGCTGTTCTAGTCCGCGGCAGTGTGCAAGATGAAGGTTGACGCGTGATATTCCGGGCCGGTGTCCATTGAGTGTGACATGGCTAACCTGATTAGTACAGATGTCATAGATACGAGAACCCGTGTCCGCTGTTTTACCAGCCCAGCTATCTCACGGCCGGCCAGGCTGCGACGTCTTTCCCTCAGCCGTGTTTTCAACCGCTCAGGCCATGAACAAAAGGACAGTCATAGTAGTCTCCTTTCGATGGGACTGTAGCCAGCGAATAAAGGGGGAAACAGTTAAGACAAATCCCTGTGGCTAGCCCGAATGACGGCAGAATGGCAGAGTCGGCCTCCCGCCTGCTAGCGATGTGGCAGAGGTCATGCCTGCGCTCCGGTGTTTCATGATGAGCTTCTAGTGAGTGTCGTCTCTGGAGACGCCGGCTCGGGTGAAGCAGCTGCTTAATCGAGGGTGCTGAAGTGTTTTGTACGGTGTTCTATTGTGTGGTGCCTGTAACCATGCTGATGACTGTTGTAGCCCGGCATTTTCAGTTTGGTTGAATTGTTCTGAGTGTTCGCGATATCTTAAGCGCCAAAGTTGCCACAGATGCATGGAGATTGTATCCTATAAAAATGTGAGCTCTCCCACTCGTGGCGTGAGATTTGTGTCCCGTGTTTCAAACTTTGGTCATCCAGTTCACTTATTTGCTTAAAATCTGTTAACCTCATTCACTTCAGTTCACAGAGATCAGACGTTAGTGGCATTTATGATGACGATCTAATCCTCGCAGTACAATTTCTCTTGTCACGTAGTGTTCGATTACGGATAGGCATACCTCATTTCACTCATGCTGAGGCCTCAATAAAAATATTTTCATTTAGAGCACATGTTTGTCAGTGGTACAATAAAGCCGACATTGCTTTGCATGTTTGACGGTATTGTGTTGTGTCAGCCGCACTGGAAATGTTGGAATGGGGGTCATTGCGGGAACGAGCTCCGGAGCGGTCGGAGCATCCGAGGATTGAGGAATACCTTGTTGCTGAATACAATAAAGATGCCCTGTTTTGAAGTCCAGGTGACAAGGCGCAGTCAACGGAAGTCGATCTCAGTCTAATTGAGTACGTCAACACCAAGATTCATACAGATTGTCAACGTGACCTCTGATGTATACTGCACAGCGTATGAGACCAGCGCAGAATGTCATGAAGGTAAACTTCAAGGCGAAAATATGGTGTCCGGTTTTGGAAGTTGGTAGCAATTCTCTAGCTGCGAAAGAGGCGCGTTTGTGACGATACTGTTTTTGTCGCCACGTAAACAAATGCGCTAACCGTGGGAAAAGAAAATCATTCGGTTCTGAGCAGTTCTGAGGGCTTGAGCTGTTAAGTTCAAGTGTTTCTGATGTTATTTCATTTTTATTCGTTTTGGAAACTTCACATGACAGTATGCATATTATTTATTTGTTAAGTCATTCATTTTATATTGCATTAAAGGGAGGTTGTGAGGTACCTACCCGGGCTACCTAGTCATTTTCTTGTTGCTTTTGGTGCCAAAAAAGTGTGATTTCAGTTTGGATCCATTTGATTTTTTCCTTATTAGTGTTTTTGGTATTAGTATATAGGGACCGTGTATATCACACCACGGTGAGATTTACACAATACCGGCCATTTGTGTAAATCACACCCACCCCGGTGTGATATACACACTTTTGACCGACTGTGTAAATCACACTCCGAGAGTGTGATTTACACGAGATGCCACACCAGTGTGTATTTCACACCATCTTCACCACATTAGGTACCATAGAGATGGCCGATCGAATCAGCTGACCGCCTGGCCTAGTGGTGAAGGTGCTTGCACCATGATACGGAGGTTGCGGGTTCGAGTCCCGTCGACGCCGGTGCTTTTTCCCGCATTTTCGCTTTTCCTTGGTAGCGGTGGGTTCCGACAAGTTTAAAAGCACCAATACAATATGGAAAGCGACGTCTGAATGCTCGTGGCGAAGCGGTGCAGTGCCGAAGGCAATGCCTTAGGAGAGATTACAGGCAATGGTAAGTCAAATATTTTTAGGTTAAGTGGTTGTGTATCTGTGCACAACCACTTAACCTAAAAATATTTGACTTACCATTGCTTGCAATCTCTTCATGCGAGTAACTTCTTCCTCATCCACGGGTAGGCAAAAATCAGTACCGTAAAATGGGGTGTTAAGGGACAGTGGGGTGTTAAGGGACAGTTGCATGGGAACAACTTTGAGTCATATTAACTTCCTTATTTGAGAAGGTTCAATAAAATCTTCAGTGTGGTAGTTGACACTGTTTTGCTCTTAACCATAGGACAAAATGGTATGGTTTTTCATGCAAGTGATTTGGTTCAAAAATGGATTTGAAAATCATGCTACATTTTCACAAAATTGAAACATCTCCAAAACTCTGTGTGTACCACATAAACTAGTGGGTGTACAGGGAAAATGAATGCATAGGTGTATTGTCACATGTATTACACATGTTTCCTGAAAAACTTGTGCAAATCCACCCATTCATTCATCATCCTCTTCCTCTTTTCTGGATACATGCATATTTTGAGGTGGATAGGGACAGAGAAGAAAAAATAAAAAAATTATATAAATATAATTTCATTAAGTTTTCTTTCAGTAGGCATGGAAAACACCAAATTCCACATAAAATGCTGGCAAGTTCATGCTTTTATCCCTAACATATCTTAAGTTATGTAACAAAACATCTCACACTCTCTTTTACAATGATGGGTCAATGGAGACTGATGTAGGTAAATGTGATGTCATCATAAAAAGGCTAAAACAAAGAGGGCAACATAATGACAAGTGACTAGCTTCAACATGGGTTTTTATTGATGACAGAAGATTACTTTTTGGTTCTGTTTACCTTATAATTAGCACATTTTCCACAAGCGTAAACTGCATTACACGTAATTGGCTAAAAAGGTCATTAGTGGTGAATGAACCTGACTTGTTTTGTGACAGAATATGCAAAACATTTCAATAAATAAAGTGTGTGCCCTTCCACACCCTAATTGTGGGCATTTGATGACCATTTCTTGGAATAATATAGGTGTCCCTTAACACCCCACATTGGGGTGCTAAGGGACAGTGATGAAAAGTAATAAAAAATAATATGCAGGTATAAATCTTAAAAACTTTAATGTGGCAGGCATGTAAAGCACCAAATTCCACATAAAATGCTGACAATTTGATGCTTCTATCTCTAACCCTTCTTGAGTTATATAACAAAACACCTCAAAACTGTCCCTTAACACCCCGTTTTACGGTAGGTCAGGTTAGGTTAGGTTAGGTTAGGTTAGGTTAGGTTAGGTTAGGTTAGGTTAGGTTAGGTCAGGTCTAAGGTTTGGTTAAGTGTCTTTTAATATTTTGGTGATGTGTATCACACCCTGGTGAGATTTACACATTGGCTAGGCCTACTGTGTAAATCACACCCAGGTGCTGCGTGGTTTGACACCCAGGTGTGATTTACACACTAGGAGCACATTGTGTATATCACACCACGGTGTAATTTACGCATTTGCCGGGCCACTGTGTAAATCACACTCCGCGTGGTGTGATATACACAGGAGTAGTGTATTGTGTAAATCACACCCGGGTGAGGTTTACACTACAGTGCGATGCATTATGTAAATCTCACCGTGGTGTGATATACACGCGTCCTAGTATATATTAGGTCCGAGTGGACAATTGTGACGCTGTTGATACAAATATGTAACAGCAAAAATTTTAGGTTTTAGGTTAGGTTAGGTTGTAGGTTTGTAGGTTTTAGGTTTTAGGTTGTAGGTTTGTAGGTTAGGTTAGGTTAGGTTGTAGGTTTGTAGGTTGTAGGTTGGTAGGTTGTAGGTAAATAGGTAAGGTTAGGTCAGGTTTGATTATGTTTTTCTTTTATTTCCAGGACATATAAGTATCATTTTTGGATTCAGGATGTCAAATAATGTAAGAATATGAAAACTTTATCTTTTAACAGTCACTCAGACTTGATGTATACTTTTACCGTGTTTTTTCGTGGCGATCAGTTCATCATCAGTTCATCAGGCGATCATCAGTTCTCTATACACCGTGGTGGCGATGGAACAGGCCCTTAGACTCTTCGGTATCGGTAACCACTCTTCATGTGTTCAATTTGAATTTGAAGCTGTTTGCTGACAACTGTCGGCTTTCAGCCCAAACAAACAACAAAGATATCTGCAAGTTGCGGGTGCCCTTGAACCACAAATCCACCCCAGTGGTGACCTTGACCATGACCCGCCCTGTCTGTTGCACCTCCAAAGCCAAGCCGGCTTGGAATTGGTAGAGTTTTCAACTTGGGCAACTGCACGGCAACTGCAACTCAGCAAAAATCAACACCCATGGATTGCAGTATACTACTTATTGGTGCATTTTGAAGCTGAAAGCCAAAAAATTATAATTGTTCAAATTTCATAGAAATCCACAGAGATCTCTAGCTATGACTGAGTCTGACATATGAATATGAATGAATATGAATCTTTCAAAAGGAAAGGCATAAAGCTGGACTTATTTAATTGACCTACTCAAAAGTTGGAGAGCATTTTTCATGAGAGCTAGACTTGCAAATCCTGTTTTTCTGACTTACTTCTCTTTGCAGAGGCACATAGAAAAAAATGAGGATAACAACAGTTGTATCATCAAGACTCTTCCTGTCCATTGTGATTGTAGTTTTGCTGTTCTTCATCGCAGTTCTATTAACAAGATCAGATGAAGGTAAGGAATGCACCTCTGCTGATAATGGAGTTAATGTCAGGTTCTGGAGCAATATAAGAAAATGTGTGCACATCTTAATGTAAATTTTGAGGACATTATCTACTTTAACATTGTTTTTTGGTTACATTGTATGGTTTCCAGCCAATATTCATTGGCTCATGTAGGTAGCAATAAAAGACATGCATGACAGGTCTCAAGCATCTGTTTATTTTCTAGATGTTGAGGTGATATGATTCCATCAGACATGTTGTGACATATGATTTCTGAGAGTAGGCCAGCAGTATGTCCCCTCAGTTACCACTGGCTGCCTCTCTCCTACAGCAGTGTGTCCGCCGCCGCCGGCCGCGGCAGCCGAGCAGTCCCCGCCGGAGCCGGCCGCCGAGGTGACGCCGTCCCCCTCCCCCGCGTCACCGGCGCCGTCCGGGGGCCGGCCGCCGGAGCCGGACACCTTCTCCTGGGACAACCACACGCTGGCCGTCGTGGTGCCGTTCAGGGACCGCTTCGAGGAGATGCTCATCTTCGTCCCCTACATGCACCGCTTCCTCAACTTCCAGAAAGTGAAGCACCGCATCTACATCGTCAACCAGGTGAGCTGCGCAGTGCTCAGCGCTGGCTATGTGGGCCGCCCGCGGCGCCGCCCGGGAGGTGAAAGTGGGATCCCCAACACCGACAGATATGCTCACTTCTTTTCATGTTCTGCCACATGCAAAAGGGTGACGTGGTCCTCCTTCCCCGCTTTGTTGTGGTTACGAACGCGTTTTCCTCATGTCTCGGTCATTCTGCTCTGTCATGCCAGTTTTTCGGCGATCTCAGCGGCGCACCACCTCGGATCGGATTTCAGTAGGTAATCCTAGTCGAGTAGGTCGTATTTCCTGGATGAGTTTGTCTCTCCTTTTCGTGTCGTTTTTTGTGCTAGTTTTTTTTCAAGTTGTGGTACGGTGCTCAGTTACAACGTGCTCGCCTATATAATATACAGACCGCGTTTCACTAAGCACAGCCTTACTAAGGCGGTAATCGCAGCGCTAGTTCCATGCCGATAGCGGTGAGCTCCACTAAGCCTGCCGTATCTACGGAGCTCTCCGACTTCGGATGGTCGTTCCCAGCTGGCGCTGCGTTTATGGTTTTATAGACCTCCTTTGCCTGTGACATGACGTGGATAATGTGCCACGA